CTGGTGCCTAACCCATGCCCAACACCCCAGTCCTCAACGCCCTTTGGATATGCCCCCCTCCCCCTATCCCCCCCACCCGACCCCACCGACATCGAACGGAAGTAGAGAAAAGGTCAGAGGTCAAGTCGCTGCAATGCCGCCGCTTCGACTGCCCGCGACCCGATCGTCTCTTGGAAGGTTCCAGGGGAGGAACTGTAAAAAAAAAATCCTTCTTTGTCTTCTTCTTACTGTTCTTCTTATCTTTATCATTATCATCTTTATAATCATGATCATAATCATTATCATAATCATAATTATCATCATCATCATCATCACTTTTTTCTATATCGCAAACCAAAAAGGACCAGGTAACAACCATACAAACAGGCAACTACAACAAATAGAGACAATTGAGCACTTTTCCCAGCCCTTTTCAACCCTTTTCAACCCTTTTCCCCTGAATTTCGATACGAAGGCTTAAAGATGCACGAAGGAACAGCCTCCGGGCGAGAGCACCTTAAAATTGCAACAACTCGCTGATGCATGATGCTCAGGTGCAGAGGTCGATATACATGCCGCGTTGAAAGGCGCCGTGCAACACCGCAGACTTCGCCGGCCGTTTAAACAACATATGCTCAACATCCTGATTATATTTACTACTTTGAATACACAGCTCCACTACATTTATACACACGAGGGCGTTTATGAGCACTAGTCCTGAACGCATAAACGACTATATACATAAACATGCAGCCATCAGATATCAACTCAAATGACGGCCACTGCTTCACGCCCTTAGGGATCAGGAGGAACTTAATAACTTAATCCTTCTGCGACTACGAAGCCAAAGACGGAGCGAGGAACAAGATGTTGATCTCCGCGACACTCGTGGCAATCATGTAGCTACTACTAACATTGCTACTCATGATAAAATTGCTATAGTTAATGCTACTATTGAAATTGCTATACGTACTGCTGTCACTAAAACTGCTCTACTTAATGCTACAACTGACATTTCTATAGTTACTGCTAGATGAAACTGATAATATTACTGCTGCTATTGACATTCCTTTACCTGTTTACGCAACTATTGTTACTACCGTTACCACTACTACCGGAACTATTAATAACATTCATTGATACTACTACTAATCATAATATTCTTGCACGAGAATGCGAATAAAAGCAAAAACACTACCAATGGTTAAAACTATCATACTACCACAAAACTATCATCACACATCATAACCATTCATCAAAACATCATAACCTATCACTGAATATCACAACCATCATCAATCATCGTCAAATGCCAAAACTATCAAACGCTTTATTAAAACAACATACTATAGAAGAAGTAATGCACAGTAAACGCATAGTTTTTACGACCACATAAACAGGACAACATAAAACTAAAGAATCCACAACATAAGCCTCATCAGCCGCGACTAAACTGATGAGTCGTACCGAGGAGATGAATGGGAAAAAATACACAAAAGAGAAGATCAGAAGTGAAAAGAAACAAAGGGAAAGATGAAAGGTAAACAAGGGTGAAGAGAAGAAGCGAAAAAAAAGTTGATAGACGAAAAATTTAGAGGCATAAAAAGAGAAACGGGGAAAAAGTCTAGAAGGGCGAAATTCGAGTAACTCTTTATGGTCCTAAAGTGAAGAACTAGAAGAGAAAAGGGAAAAGTTTGATAAAACAGGAACAAGGAAAAGAAAGAAAAATATTAATAAAGTCATATATAAGGACGATATTTTTGGTCACAATATCACGAGAGAGAGAGAGAGAGAGAGAGAGAGAGAGGAGAGAGAGAGAGAGAGAGAGAGAGAGAGAGAGAGAGAGAGAGAGAGAGAGAGAGAGAGAGAGAGAGAGAGAGAGAGAGAGAGAGAGAGAGGAGAGAGAGAGAGAGAAGAGAGAGAGAAGAGAGAGAGAGAGAGAGAAGAGAGAAGAGAGAAGAGAGAAGAGAGAAGAGAGAGAGAGAAGAAGAAGAGAGAAGAGAGAGGGAAAGTGAAGAAGAGAAGAGGCAGAGAGTTGATAAAAAAAATGGAAACACGCAAAAAAAAGGTAAACAAACTATAAACAAAATATAAATAATTATTAAATACACAAGGAGGGCGGAGGGGAAATAAGCGAGTCCCTACGGCGCTAAAAAGGGCTTCTCGGCCGTTACTCTGGCTTCGCAGTCCCCAGCACGCCCGCCAGGATACGTCAAGTCATCCTGCCTCGCGCCTCAATGAGGAATCCTTTCTGGTGTCTAGGCCTACATCCACGGCGCCTGGGATGTTCTTTGGGGAGGTTTACTTCTTTTTTTGTGTGTGCGATTTTTTCATTTTCTTCTCCTTCTACGTATTTTTTTAAATTTCTTTTCTTTTCTTTTCTCAATTATTTTTTCTTCTTTCTTGCCTTTTCTTTTTTTTTTTTTTTTTTTTTTTGTATGTGTGCGTGCGATTTTTTTTCTTCTCCTTCTACTTATTTTTTTCATTCCTTTTCTTTTCTTTCTCAATTTAATTTTTCTTCTTTTCTTTCCTTTTCTTTTTTCCTCTCCTTCCTTAATCATTTTCATTTTCCTTCTCCTCCTTCTTCTCTCTTCTTCTATTTCTATTCCTCCTCCTCCTCCCCCTCCTCCTCCTCCACATGGCCCAGCATCTTCCCCAAGGCCCAGCACCTGCATGGTTTTATCGGGTCAGTCGAGTGTCTGTGTTCGAGTGTCCGCGCATGGCTTCGTTCGCGCGTTCGTGTGTGCGCGCGGGCGGCCGTGCCACGCGTCTCGAGTCAGGCGGCGTCGGCGGGTGCGGGAGTGACTCGCAGCCGGCCAGCGTCTTTCACTGACTCACTCGCGCCGTGAGTGGGTGGGTGAGTCATCTCCGCGGGGACCCGTAAGCGGAAATGGTAGAGTCATAGCCCTTAACGATGAATCGACAGACACGTGACAGAAACGGCAATATCCCCTTAAGCCTTTCTCTTGTTCCCCCCCCCCCTGTACCCACCCCCTCCTCCCTTTCTCTTTCTCCTCCGCCTCTTCCTCCCCTTCCCTTTCCCGTTTCCCTTCCTCATCCCCTCTTCCTCCCATGACTATTATCATCCTCTTCTCTACTTCCCTTCTTCCCCTCTCTACTTTTCCACGTCTTCCCTCTCCTCTTCCCTTCCCCCTTTTATGTCTATTTTTCTTTACTTCCTTTCAATACGTTTTTCCATTTTCCTCTCGCCCCTGCCTGCCCTACGAATGTTTTCATTCTATTTTCTCTCTATGTCTTTTACGTTTTTTTATTTTCTTTCCTTTTGTCCTTGTTCTATATTTCTTCTCTGCTCTTTGTCTCTACGTCTTTCATCTTCTTTTACCCTTCTTTTCATAACCTCCTACTCTCTATCTCTCTCTCATGTCTTCTCTCTCTCCATCTTCTCTCTCTCCTCTCTCTCTCTCTTCCTCTCCTCAATCTCTCCTCTCTAATTCCTCCTCTCTCATCTCATCCTCATCTCATCCTCTCTCTACCTCTCT